GAGAGAGAAAAAGCCCCGAGCTCCATTCTCTTCACAGCTTTTGTATCAGGTCTAATGTGCATCTATTACTAGAATTCTCATTGTGTCGCAAGAGCAGGCGCACGAGTGGATCAAAAAGAAAAAATGCACTCCCATTACCACTTCAGGATTCTGTTTGCCCCCAAGGAGAGTAAACAGGATTATATCTCATTATTGTTATTTTGAGTAATATCCTTCACATATGTATGCATCCTGTTTGACAAAGCAGCAGCTCATACTTGTCCTGTTCATTCCTGACAAGGATGGAGGCATGTAGGGAAGACTAATTATCCCATTCTGTGAGGTGAGGAAACTAAAGTGTCTCAGGGCACGCAGCACCCCTGGGATCCACTTCATCAGTGATAGAAGGAACACTAACTATAGCATGATTCTTTTTTATTTAAATTGATCATACATTGAAATGACAGTATTTTCTCATTTCCTACCCTCTCTCCCGTGTCCCTCTGGTCTCCCCTTAACTTTCAAAGTCTGCTTCTTTTGGTGTAAAAGCCATTTTTTCCTGGTTTTTCTTTGATCGTACTGGTATAATACAGTCTTTATGGTATTGATAAACTTGCTGAGTATAATGCCTTCCAAATTTGTCCATGTCATGAAATATTTGACATTCATTATTGTTTTTTAGAGATTCATAATATTTCATGGTAATTTACCAGAGTTTATTTATACATTTCTCCACAGCATTATGGTTGTTTCAATCTTTTAGCTATTATGACTAGTGCTGTGAACAACATAGGTATACGTATGCCATATATACCTGAGTATAAGCCGACCTGAATATCATCCGAGGCACCTAATTTTACCACACAAACTGTATAAAATATATGCTGGAAAACTTGGCTTATACTTGAGTATATAGGGTAGCTGTTCTTTATTTATTTGGGGGTATGTACAGAATAGAGAGATTGCTGTTTCGTGGTACTTTTATTCTAATTTGTTTAAGTAAACATCATACAATTTTATATACTAGCTATAACAATTTTTCAGTTCCACCAGCAACATTGGAGTGTTCCAATCTCTCCCCATCCTTTCCAGCATTTATTTTCAGAGTTTTTTAAATTTTGCCATGAGTGCTAGAGTGAAGTGATAGCTCATTGTTTTGATTGACATGTCTCTTATAGATTTCAAGTATTTCTTCTTAAGATTGTTGGCTACCTAGATGTCATCTTTGGTGAATTGTCTATGGATGTTTTCTGCCCATGTTTTTTAGATTACTAAGGTGTTTTGAAAATTAGGTTATTGAGATGTTTCAGTTTTCTGTAAATTTAGAGTAGCCTTTTATCTGATACATCTTTACCAATGTTTCTCCCAATTCTGTTCCTTTAGTTTATCTTTTGTAAAGAAGATTTTTATATTTATTTTCTTATGTTTGGTAGTGTGCTTATGCCTTGTACTGGGACCCTTAAATTTGTCCCAATTTTTTCATTAATGAGTTTCATAGTTCTAGGGTTTATATTTAAGTCTTTAATCCATCTTGAGTTGTATTTCTATATGGTATGATATATGGATTTTGTTTCATTCTTTTGTAGGTGGAGCTCCAATTTTTTCAGTACCATTTGTTGATAGACTCTCTCTTCTCCATTCAATGTGTTTTAGTCTGCTATCAAAAACTGGGTGTCTGGTCTTATTTCTCTATTTTTAAAATTATGATCGATAGGCCTACATATCTATTGTTCTACCACTACCAAACTGTCTTGATTACCATGGCTGTATAATTGATTTGAAATCAAGGAACGAGACGCCCCCTATTTTTTGGGGGGGCTTTTAATAGTATTTTGCTTATCCTGGATTCCATTACTTTCCAAACAAAGTCAGTGATTAGTTTTTCCATTTCTTTGAATAATTGTGCTGGGCTTTGGATAGGAATTGGGTTATATTTATAGATTATTTTCAGAAACATAGACATGTTCACTATATTAACTCTTCCTGTCCATGAACATGACACATTGTCCCATGTTTAAGTCTCTCTTGCTTTTTTGTTGTACTGTTTTGTAGTTTTCTTTATATAAATCTTTAATTTCTCTGATTAGGTTTATTCTTAAGTATTTTATCTTTTGAGTGGTCATTGTAAATGCTATATTGTAAAAACATTGTAAAAATTATTGTAAATATATTATTTTTCAGGGTTCCTTCCTTAATGTAGGTACTAGTCTGGGTACTCTGGAGAAACAAATCCACAGCAACTCATGTATAAGAGAGAGTTTTATGTGAAGAAAATGTGCATCACGAAAACATCCGAACCCAATGCTGCCCAAGCCCACAAGTCCAATATTAACCCATTTACCCAACACCAGTCCACAAAGTCCTCTACCTCACAAAACAGAGGCAATGATGCCGACTGCAGGAGGAAAGCTGAGTCAGTGAACGAATAAGCATCTCAGCACTAGCAGGGGTCTCCACACGGCTGCTCCAGTACTCAGGGCTGCATCGGGATATGTCCATGTAGCTTCTCCTTGGGGATGTCTTGTATGAAGTCAATCTTGCAAGCTGAAGCAGGGAACTGCTAAGGCAGCTGCACCCTGGTGCAACCATCACAAAGCAAGAGACCCGAGAACTAAAAAGGCGAGGCTCACCACCCATTTATCCCTCAGCCCTTCAATTAGCCCCACATGTGATTATCGGCCAGATTGGCACAATTAACTAACTCAATGTACAAGAATCCTATTTATTTATATATTTGATCTTGTAGGCTGCCATGTTGGTAAAATTTTCAATTTGTTTCAGATTTTTTTCAATGGATTCTAGTTTTCTCTATGTAAAATATTTAGTTTTCTCTATGTAAAATATATTATCTGTAAACAGCGTTTTGCTTCTTCTTTGCTGATTGGGATGCCTTTAACTTTGTTTTGTTATATAATACCTCTGACTAAAACTTCCAGGAATATACGAAATAAGAATGGTAATAAGGGGCATCCCTGTCTGGTTCCCTTTTAGAGGGGAATGCTTTCCATTGAGTGAAGTGCTGCTGGCTGGTTTTCCATATATGGTGTTTATTATATTGAGAAATTTCTTTTATATTCATATTTGATTACTTTATAAAAATGGATGTTGGATTTTGTTTAATGCTTTTTCTGCATCAATCGATATAATCATATGATTCTTTTGTTTTACTTATATAGTGGATTACATTGACTGATTTTTATAATATCACACTATCTTTGCATATCCGACATAAATTATATTTTAAATTTTTTGTTGAATTATATTAGCTAGAAATGTGATGAAGATTGTAGCAAATATGTTAATAAGAGGTATTGGTCTAAGTTTTCTTTTATGGTGATGTCTTTTTTTCTTAACAGTTTTACTGGCGCTTTATCCACAGGTCATACAATTCAATTATTCCATCATATCAAGAAGAGTTGAACGAGGGGGGTAGGAGCAGAGATCCAAAGCCCATCTCTAGACAATGGGACATCCCCTCACAGTAGGGTCACATGGAAAGAATGAGTCAACCAGGGCCCAGTATAGCACCGACCGATGAAACACATTGTTATTCTGGTTCCTTGAGGCTTCCTCATCCCCCACTATTGTGACCCCAATCCTCTCTTTCACTGCAGCCTAGACCAGAGCATGCGCACAGGCACAGATAAGAGATAAGAAGAGCTCACGACACACAGAATCTAGGAACAGGACTGGGAGTTGCACTACCAGGAGGGTAGGGGGAAAGTGGGGCGAGGAGGTAGAGAAGTGATCAACACATAACCACACGCACCCTACCCCAGGGAGAGGGACAAAAGAAACCACGGGGGAAGGGAGGCAGCAGTTGGTGTAAGATGAGAAAATAATAATAATAATAATTTATCAAGGGGTCATGTGGGTGGACGGCGGGAGGGAGGGAAAAAAGAGGAGCTGATACCAAGGGCTCAAATAGAAAGTATATGTTTAGAAAATAATGATGGCAACATTTGTATAAATATGCTTGATACAATTGATGTATGGATTGTTATAAGAACTGTAAGAGTCCCCAATAAAATGAACTTTTAATTAAAAAAATAAAAGAGAGTGTACAAATATCTATGGTGATGTCCTTGCCTGATTTGGGTATCAGGCCTATACTTGCTTCTTCCTTAAATGAGTTTGGTAGTATGTTCAATTATTGCTTTAATCAATTGTATGTCTATATACCTTCTTTCATGGTGGCTATTACTTTGACATCTGTTTTATTAGACATTCATATTGTTATAGCTTTTTTTTTACTACTGCCACCTTCATATATATATTCTGATTTTTTTATTTTTAATCTGTTTTTGTTTTTGTGTGACATGATTCTTTTTGAAAAGGATCATGCAGCCTAAATTTTAATGAAAGACCTTAGACTCAGCTTTCAGAAAAGGATCATTAACAATCCATTTGCATAAGGTTAAACCTTTCCAAAAAGTTTTGAAACAGCCTTCACAGAGCTTTTAAAATAATCTCAAAGTCACAAGCAGCATACTATTCTTACATGACAGCAGAATGTTCAAACTCATATGAAACTCAGAAAATGTAGTTTCCCTAGTTGTCATCTTCTCTAAACCAAATGGATTTTGTCATTTGCCATGAATCCATACACCAATTCTAACAATCTGTTGTCTTTTTGAGAAATATTCTAGGATTTTTACCCTAGCCTTTAGGAATCTTCAATAGTGTCATTTTTCTTCTGTCTCGTTTCCCCCCAGTCCATGGTCAATATAGCATTCAACAACTAAAATGCAACCACCATGAAACAGAAGCAGAAGAAAGAGTGTATATATAAAATACACACACTCAGATGATCTAATCTAAACATACTGATTTAGCTTTAATGGAGTGTCAGTTTGTGATTAAGTTTTTATAAGAAAAAGCATCTTCCTGTGACTACTGGTAAATTGACAGTGAGAACATAGACTCAACCCATTAAGGGACTTGAACCATTTCACAAGGTATCTATTTAATACCTGATGTCAGCTGCTCAAATGTCACTGATGGACTTTCTCTCTCTGCAGCCACTGCTTTAATGATAAAGACTATGCACGGATGTCACTTTGCTCCTGGGTTAATGTTGTGGTTGGTAGGATGACCAGCATAGACCGAGCAGCCAAGCACGTCTTGGTATCCCAGGAAGAAGTTGTTCTCTATGACCACCTCATCCTCTGTACTGGCCAGCAGTACCAGGTAGGACTGAGCAGCAGTTCCAGGGGGGATGATTTGTATGGGGGGAAAATGATGTTCCTGGGGAACATGGTGTCTGGGTACAGGGTATTTTTTCTACCCCACTTTGTATTTATCAGTGTTCTCTTCAGGGCCTGCAGGCATCACCAGACGTGTGTTCTCAGACTCACAGAAACCTATTCCAAGAGAAACATTCTGCTCAAGAATAAAAAACACAGCACATTGGATAAATGTCATTCGTTTAGCTGTTGTTCAAAAGTCTAACACTTATTATTCACCATCCAGATCCAGACATAGCCATGCCCAGGCCTACATTTATAGTAAATTAATTTATGCCTCAAGAGGCTGACGTTTGGCAATGGTGATTGGCACATGCAAAAGTATGTCAAATATGTGCACCTTCTGTTAGCCTTTATTATATTTGTTCTTTCATCTGATTGCATGATTACCTAGTGACCATACTTTTCATTTTGATTAAATTCTCCAGTTATACCTGAATAAAATATTTTTTAGTACAACGGAAGCTGTTAAATTTTTAGAAGAGCAGGTTTTTTTATATTCTTAAATTGCAGTACACATTTGAGTTTTATGTGTGCCACTAACTAGGCGTGTCTTTATTGAGAGAGGCTGATTTTTAATTCAAGAGGGGGTCCTCTAATGATATTTTTAATGCCAAAACACCTGCATTTTGTTACTGATGTATGTGATTTTTTTTCTGATAACAATCACAAAGAAGTTAAAATTAACTAGGACCACCCCCAAGTTCCACACTGCCACGTTTCATCTAGTACCTATCTTAATTAGTCACCACTCTTTTTTCAGTTTGTCATACTGCAGTGGCGTGCATTTTGTTGGGATGCTAGAAGCTATGCCACCAGTATTTAAAATACCAGCAGGGTTGCACATGATAGATAGGTTTCAGCAGACGAAAATTAGGAAGAAAGGGCTGGTGATCTCGTTCTAAAAATTAAACAATGAAAGTGTTACAGATCACTATATAACATTGTTCTTCTCGCTTGCTTGACCATTCTTCATGAGGCCATCGATAGATGACCAAGTGAGGTAGAGGAAGAACATTGATGGGATGGATTGACACAATAGCTGCAATGATGACCTTAAGATGCTAGTGATGGTGAGGATGGTGCACAGTCAGGAAACAGTTTGCTCTCTTCTACATAAGGTCACCAAGGGTTGGCGTATTATTCTTGGTGTTGCCCTAGAATATGCTCTGCAACTTTGGGCATCATTCTACCAACATTCTCAGACTTCCCTTGTTCATAAAACACACCTGGGGGCATTTTGACATGTATACTTACAGGAGCCTAGTCCTTGCCCCAGATATTAGAGAAGCTCATCAGTATTTTTGTAAAAAGCTTCAAGATGTTCTAAATCAAGACTGAGAGCCATTGACTTGAATTTCTTTACCAGAAAGCCATCATCTTTACTTTAAACATTTCACAAATCTCCTACAGGTTGTCACAAAGCACAGGTTCTGATAAGTAGGTCTCGGCTGGGACCTGAGATGCTATGTTTCTAATCATCTTTTGGGAAATCACTAATTCTGGACTATGCTTGAGTTAATTAGGGCCTGTCTAACTCTGGAAAATGGGATTTAAAAATCATATATTTAACAATTGTAGAGAATGTTGGAGAATTCTGCCTATCTTTTTTGAAAAAACCTGTACTATTCTCATTTTTTCTTTCTTTTCTTTTTATAATCAAGTTCTTAATTGGGAGAAAATTATTTTTTTCTGCTTAAAGAAAAGAAAATGTATGGAAGGGTTATCTTAACTTTGATATGTAAGTATTCATCTTACTTTTTAAAGCATTGAACCATAAGAAAACAACATGTTCCCCATTAGCTCTCCTCCCCACCTTCACTGGCGGTTTCAAGCTTGACCTAGACGACAGACGTTGGGGGAGCCAGCCAAGTGCCAGAGGCTCTGGCGTCTGTGTTTAGCAGCCCCTGCAGCTTTAGTCTGTGGCATATTATGCGCTTGTTCTTTGGACAATGGGAAAAATGAAAAGAAAGGAGAAAAGAAGTTTCCATTTAATTTTTCCAGAAGGATATAAACATTGAAGGTCTAAGGAATGACCCACCACTTGTCTGTCAGTTTGTCAGACTGTGAGGGCTGGTGTGTTGCTGGGATGCTGGAAGCTTTGTGACTGGAATTTTAAGTGCCAGAGGTGTCATCTAAAGTAAACAGGCTTCGGCAGAACTTCCAGACTAAGAAAAGACTATGAAGAAGGCAATTGGCTTCCCACGTTTTAGGAAGTAGCCTCTAAAAACCTTATGCAGAGCATGGAAAGACCGTCAGATACTGAAGGCCTAATGAATGAACGCAGAACGTGGTCAGAAATAGTGCCAGATGATGGGTCCCTTGGATTGGAAAGCACTAGAAATGTGATTGATAAGAACGCTGCTTTCTCATGTTAGCATTGACTAACATGAATTGAATGGAGTAAAGATTGTGAGAGTAGAGCTTCAGGGCCTTCTTGTGCTAATGGACTCAACTCAAGGTGAGGAAAAACAGCTGTAAAAGTCTCATAACTGGAACTTGGAGTGTACAAAGTACTAATATGGGAAAATTGTGGAAGTCATCAAAATGAAATGGATCATATAAGGATGACTACCCTAGACATTAATGAGCTGAAATGGAGAGTTATTGGCCATTTTTAATCAGAAAAGCATATGATTTACTATGCCTGGAATGACAGTCAAGAGGCATGGCATTGCATTGATTTTCAGGAAGACATTTCAAGATCTACTTCAAGTACAGTGCTGTCTGTGGTAGGATTATAGCTATCCACATTAAAGGAAATTCAATCAATACAGCTTTTAAAAAATTATCATTTTATCGGGTTACAATCCATACATTGTTACAATCCATACATTGATTGCATCAGGCATGTTTGTACATACGTTGTCTGTTCATTTTCAGACATTTACTTTCTTTTGAGCTCTTGGTATCAGCTCCTCATTTTTCCCCCTTCTCCCACCCCATACTCCCTTGGTAGATTATAAATAATTATTATTTTAATATCTTACACAGACCCCTGTCTCCCTTCCCTCATCTTTTCTGTTGTTCTTTCCCTCTGGAGAGGGGTGTATGGCTGTGTGACAATCATTGTGATCGATTCCCCCCACTGCTTCCTTCCCCTCCCCACTTTATCCCTACCCTTATGGTATTGTTATTCCCACTCTTGCTCCTGGATTCCATGTGTCGTGAGCCCCCATCTCTTTTCTGTAGCTGTGTACATGTTCCGGTCTAATCTGAATTGAGAAGCAGTACTGGGGTCCTAATAGTGGGGGCTGAGGAAGCCTCAAAGAACCAGAGGAATATAGTGTGTTTTATTGATGCCTTACTGTACCCTAGTTGACTCATCCCTTCCCTGTGTCCCCTCTGTGGGGGAATTGTTCCATTCTCTACAGATGGGCTTTGGGTGTCTGCTCCACACACACACCCTCATTCTCCACAATATGTTTTTGTTTGTTTGTTTGTTATGTGTCTTCTGATGCCTATTACCTGGTCTGATGACTCCTCATGATCACGTTGATGGTGTGGTTCTTCCATATGGGCTTGTTGCTTCTCTGCTGAATGGCCGTTTGTTTAACTTCAAGGCTTTAAGAACCCAAATGCTATATCCTTTAATAGCCGGGCACCATCTGCCTTCTTCACCATATTTGCTTATGCACCTGCTTTGCCTTCAGCGATTGCGTCAGGAGCTTGAGCATCTCAGAATGCCAGTTTGTTAGAACAAAATGTTCTGGTGTTGAGGGAGGGTATGAGGAGAGTCTCAAAGTCCATCCACTACCTCAGTGTTTTGCTCCTATATCACAATATTCAGGTAGAGATACAGGGAGTCAGGAGGAGGTTAGACCAAACCCAAGGAGGTACATGTAGTTCCAACGCAAAGAAGTGGAATTGCGGGGAGGGGAGAGGGAGAAAAGGAGTGGGAGTGAGGGCCAGAATGGTGATGATGACGGTGGGGTGGGGTGTGGAGGATCAGGGCATTAACCCACCCAGGGGGAGAGTATTGGCTTTGTCTCTACAGAATTTGGAGTGAGCATGCAGACCCTACCTCAGTGCACCAAACCATGAAGGAAATGTGGCCACGTTGAGGAACGCAGAAAAAGAGTCGGCTATAGCGCTGGCCCCAAGCAGATCCAGTCTGACCCCATCCCTAAAAATATGGGTGACAAAGAGCATCACTAAACCAACAGGTTGGGAGAGTGGCCAGCATGCCATGCCCACACAGAAGCAGACCCAGAAGGAAGAAGAGAAAGGGACAGCTGGTCTGGACCCTATGCTGGCACACCAGGCCTAGAAGATAACGTCCCTGCAGGGAGCAGCTGGGACACAGAGGAGTCTGTGGGGCTGACAACAGCTCGTGCCATGTTATCCCCTTACTGGAACAGACTGCGACAGAGGACAAATCTGGGGCCGCCCAGTGGGGAGGTAGTGCAGTCTAAAGCCCCCTTGTGGGGCGAACCAAGAAGGGATCATAACAGATCAGCAACTGAAGCAAAGAAAAACTATGAAGTCCTTGAAGAGCCCCCAAAATGGACTTCAGGCTGGGAGGGGAAGATCCCCATAACCAGAGGGGAGATAGTCATGAAGGTCAGCGAACAGACCTGGAATTAGGTACATTTACTCGGCAGTACAGCTATTTTTAAATTTTATGCAGTGTGTTAGTTACGTAGTCTGGTGTCAATTTAGGACTTGAGAGGATTAAGAGTGAAGGGGTAGAGTATAGTCTGTCAATTAAGTTATAGTCAATGAGGCCTCTGTGCGGGCATGGCCTTCTCCTGAGAATTCCGGGAATTCCTATATTTCCCCCTTGGAGTCGGGGCAGACTCTCTATTCACTCCCTTGGAGATTCTCTACTGACAAGGCTTACTCCCTGAGAGACAGTCTTCTGACAAGATAAATGTCACCACGCTGATAGACCCCATGCCCTGGGAACTTGAGGAGCCACGTGGAAACCCCTGCCTGTGCTGA